AAAAAATACTTGGTAATGACATGTCTAGTAAGGGACTTATATCTAGAATTTATAAAATACTTGAGCACCACAACAAGATAATGGTAAAAAACCCAATTGAAAAATGGACACAGGGTATGAATAGACACTTCATCAAAGAAGAAATTCAGATGGTGAACAAACACAAAAAGAAATGTTCAAAATGCCTAGCTTTAAGAGAGATGCAAATCAAAACAACTATAAGATATCATCTCGCCCCAGTAAGAATAGCAAAATCTAACAGAGCAGCAAACAACAAATGCTGGTGAGGTTACGGAGAAACTGGAACCCTTATTCACTGTTGGTGGGAGTGTAAAATGGTGCAACCACTATGGAAGCCAGCATAGTGCTTTTTCCAAAAGTTGGAAATAGAAATACCATTTGATCCAGCAATTCCACTACTGAGAATATACCCTAAAGAAACCGTAACTGCCACCCAGGCAGATATATGCACATCCATGTTTATTGCTCCTTTGTTCACAACAGCAAAAAGTTGGAAACAATCCAAGTGCACATCAACAAACGAATGATAAAGAAGCTGTGGTATATTCACACAATGGAATACTGTGCTGCATTGAAAAACAAGGAACTCATGAAATATTATACAAAATGGGTGACCCCAAGGACCTTATGCTGAGTGAAACATTTCAGTCACAAAAGGACAAATATTGCATAGCACCATTGCTGTAAAGTGGGACTAACATCAGGGTTGGGGAGAAGCTAAGAGGGGATAAATAATGTATACTGCATTGAGACAGAGGAGGGAGAGAACTGTTTAGGAGGAATATGTGATTAGGTATTACTGTCATGACAAGTGTCCAGAATGAAAGCTGCATAGTGGAATGGACAGGGAGTGGGGCGTGGGGAATTTTCTAACAATTAAAGAATTTTTTTTATTTCTTTTCAAAGAGAAAAGCGAACTGGGGAGGAGGGGTGGGCAGCAAGGAAAGTGCAACAATGAATTAATGGAAATCTAAAGTCTCTGTAGACTTTCATTAAAATGAATTTTTAAAAAAGAAAAGAAACAATAGATATAACAAAATGTGTTCAAATAACTACACTAACAATCTTCATAATAAGTGTCAATAAACAGGTATATCTCTTAATCCATTTTACAAATAAAGAACTAAAAGAATAAAATACCAAAGCACATATACTGAAGAGCTGGAAAACAGATTCTGACTGACTTCAAAGATCTTGGTTTTAATTATCACATCAAATAAAATTCACAGAAAGTTCAGATCATTCTAATAGGTGCTATTTACTGAACTCAATACTGTGCTAGAAACATATATCCTGTTAAGTATCTAATAAAAGTGTAATAAGAGTTATGCTAAAACAAACAAACAAACAATAAATGACAAATGCTGGAGAGGATGTGAAGAAACAAACTCTTCTGCACTGCCAGTGGGATTGTAAAATTGTACAACCACTATGGAGGCAGTTTGACCTTTCCTCAAAAATTTGGACACAGAAATCTCACATGACCCAGCTATTCCAGAGCTAATATATCCCAAGGAAACCACTGAACACAAATGGAGATATATACCCTATGTTTACAACTGCATTATTTACAGTAGCAAAATAATGGAAACCGCCCAAATGCCTATCAATAAATGAATGAATTGAGAAGTTGCGGTATATTCATACAATGGAAAACTATGGAGCACTAAGGAACAATAACTTGACAAAATACTATGTAACTCAGGGCAGACTAGAGAGCATTTTGCTGAGTAAATTCTCTCAGTGACAGAAGGACAAATATTGCACAATGTCACTAATGTGATACCAGCAGAATAATTGAGCAAGTTACGTACAAATGTTCAAAGGCGGAAAAAGGGGGAGAAGGTGGGGCAGAAAAATGTGAAGGGAGAAAAATTACAGGTATAGAAGAGAATGGGGGGTGGAGGGAGGTGAAGGATTGGGAAACAGTCAATGGGGGCTCGAAAAGATGAAATAATAGGCATAGGGCAATAGTAATTATATAAATACTATAAAATATTATTATATAATATAAATATGTAATGCCTGCATATGAATGACTATATAAAACACACAGCACATGAATGAAACACAATGTATAAGAATTATTTTATAAAACACAAAGTATATATAAAAAACATGATATAAATGAGTGATTATATACAAGCCAGTAACAAGTTTTTTAAAATTACTGAAAAGAACTGATAGTATACATAAACCTATATAAATGAAAGCCATTCTCTGTTATAGACTGGAAGACTGAATACCGTTAAGAGAACAATATTACCCAAAGTACTGTACAGATTCAGTGGAATCCATAACAAAATCTCACAGATATAGAAAAATCCACCCTGAGGAGGAAACTGACTTTGGGCACATAAGATTGCCTTTAGTCAGAATCAACTAGATGGCAACGAATAATAAAATCACCTTGGTACTTGAGGTAGAAAATTCTACAGCTGCTTCTCTTATTCAATTTCACCTATTATCACAGCTGTGTCAACTTGGGCAAAATGTTTCTTTTTCTCTGAGCCTCACTTCCCAGCTCTATAAAGGGGTAAAACTTTTCCTCAAAAGGCTCCTGCAGCAGCAAAGACAACTGTATATAAAAACCCTATGCAGGATACAAAACAATATACAAATGTAAAGAAAAGGTTCATTACCTTAGGGTTAACTTAGGGTACCTTTCTGAAAACATGTGATCAAGTGATAAGGAATGTGAAACTCACCTGCCAATAGCTTGTTCAACATTCATCATTGCTGACATCATTACGTCCGTGGTAAGACTGTCAGCAAAGCTAATGCCATCTTGTCCAATTCCACTATCAGCTGCCAAACTGGTATTGCTCAGCTCTCTCTCTGCATTTTCAATAGCTTCAGCAACAATCTTCTCAGCAAGAACTGTCTTATTATCCAAACTGATATGAATTTGGGGGACATCAAGATGAAAAATTCTAGATTTCTGGCAGATGTTACTTAATTTTGAATTAGAAGCTAGCTTATTACAAGCAACTGCATCCTCTCTGAGGAAGTGCTGAGATGAGCATCCAGTACAATCATGAAGTTCTCTGGGGTTACAGTATCTGCAAGCTTGACTGATAAGAGGTGACAACTTTTCGGCGTAAGTACTCCGATCTGCTGATTTCGTGGTCTCAGACACTTTGAAAACTGCAGGCTCTAAAGTGAGGTTCAAAGTGTCATCCACTATCTTTTTTGCATACTGTTCTACAGTTTGAACACTCTCTCCACAACCATATTCATTTAAGCTGCCAATACTGTGATGAAATCTGTGATTTTGCGAGGAAGGCTGAAAAGGCTTAGTGAATTCTGCTTCAATGTGAGAACTGGGATCTTCATCACATCCAGATTTGTCATAAAGGCAAGAATCTGTTAAGGATTTTGGCAAGCCAACTGCAGACGTTACCTCTTTTTCAACATCTCTTGTTATGCTGTGAGCAAGAGAGGCTGAAAAATTATATAGTTCAGAGTATTCATTTCTGTATGTATCCTGTGTCCTTTCACAACTTTGATTTTTACAAAGGTAGCTTCCCTTCTCCCTACTTTGTCTCTTTTTATTTGCTTCCTGCTGGTGTTCTTTCTTTAAAAACATTGACTCGTTCTTGGTTTTCTCTGGTGAGCCTTGCACAAAGAACATTTGTGAGTTGCTCTTGGTTTTGGCTGTCCTGGCAGCTTCTTGTAATCCTGATTTCACAGATCTATACACAAGTCTGTTGGCATACTGATCCATTATTAACTCATTATTACCACCTTCTTGTTTTAGGATTTGGATAATGTGACCTGCGTATTCATCTGTCACACTTTCACAGCTGGGATATTTACAGGTCAGACCTGACATACTGGGTGGCAGAGAGAGAGTATATGGATCCAGTTCTCTTGGATATGCCTCTTTGTCAAACTTCTCATCTGATCTACCAGGTCCGTCACTTCTTTTGACGCTGATGCCATCAGCATAGCAACTGCTTCTCCTCCTTTGAGAAAGCACACTTTTCACTTTTGCTATTTTCTCAGCGTCTATAATTACCTCTGCTGCCATATCACCTGCAAAATCCCATAATGCCTGTAAATTTTTATTTGAGCAATTTAAAAAAGTAGGTGATACACTTCCTTGACTTTGCATGTTTAAGTGTGAGCTTTTAAAGTTGGGTTCTTGAATCACTTTGTTATCTAAACGAGAAGCTGCCATTTCCGTTGCAAGAGAAATGACGTGTGTAGCTAACGCTTCTGCAAACTGAACTCTCTTCCCCAAGGACTCCAACTTCCCGTCGACTTCTGAGTGTTCCTCACCCTCACTACTTTCAACTTCTTCTGAGAGAGATCTCATGAGCTTCAACATAAACTCCTCTTTTTCTATAGTATTTTGTTCATTTTCAGACAAACTACCAATGGCTGGGTTGTGAGGTGTAGAAGGTGGCGTAGCAGGTGCAAACTCCTTCGCTAATTCTCCCTTGAGCTTTTTACTTAACTTTTTGATATCCCACTCAGAACTAGCTTGGGATGGTACTAAAGGAGTTGACGGGGGGGTTCCAGGTATAAGAGTGCCATCCCTGGCTTTCTGTTTATCTTCCACATGTAAGCCCTCTACACAAGTAAGCACTGTAGATGTGAAAACATGTGAATGAGGAAAGGGGCTTTCTTGCCCAAAAGACAAAGGCTCAAGTGCAGTGTTATTTAAACCATGTGTCTTCTCTGGTTTCTCCCTGGCAAGTTCCTTCAAGTCTGACTTTTGAACTGGCATCACTGGACCTGGGACTTGCATCTCTGAAGAAAGTCCATGAGCTGTGGAACTCTTAATTTCTGGAGCACAATCCTTTCCTGCCAAATTCAAATAATGATCTTGAGTGTCAAGAAATTTGGAGAATTTTTCCAAGCTCAACTGTGACTCTTCTCCAGGAATAGTCAAGGCTCCTTTGTTCACATTTTTATCTATATTTACAATCACTGACTTGCTTTTGTCTATGGAATGCTTAATAATAGATTTAGATAATTGGTCAGCAAACATGTCCTTAGACACAGTATCATTCTGTTGCAGGGCTGCTTGATCATAGTGGAAAGGAAGGATATTCCCTTCAACTGTTTTAGTTAAATAACTGGTGTGCTCATCAAGTGTTTTTGTAACTTTGAATGATGTCATAGACTCTAATGTTTCATTTACTATGGTGTGTACCATCGCTGCAGAGAAGCTGCTAATTATTGCAGGATCACAAGTTAATTTTGAAGAATTTGGCATTTCAGTATCATCAGGAGTTGGTTTCAATTCATTCTGGTTACTCAGATTGTGTTTTGAATCTGAAGGTAAACAAATATTTCCGAGACAGGCTACTTCCTCTTCTTTGCTTTTTGTCGTAATACAAGCTTGGGTAGAATCACTATTTAAATTATCATCATCAGTTGACAGAGGAGACTTTGTCTCATAAATATTAAGTGGAATATGATATGGAAGAAGGGCACTTCCTGCCAAAGGCAATGGTACAGAAGTAACAATTCCAGAGGTACAAAACAAGGCCTGTTGCACAGTGTACTCTTTTTTATAATCCTGAACTGGTTTTGCTGTCATAATAGCTTGATTGTTAAAAGTAGGAGAAAAGGTAAAGGTCTGGGTTGATGGCACTATATTTTCTGCACTCACATACTTTATGTTATCTGTAGACACACTAACTGCTGCTTTTGTTGTAAAAGTTACATCAACTTGGGATAATTCAATGAAAGCTTCCTGTATTACAGATTCAGACAAGTCTTTTGCATATGACTTCACTACTTTGTCTTCATAGTCAAACGACCAACACTGGGAAAATGCAGGCGTGGGAGGATATGAAAACTGGCACACTTCCATGACTCCTTCAAAAACCAGCTCTTCAGCAAGATCTGTAGCAAACTTAGCAACTGTGTTTGTAAATATCTGCTTCTTTACATACTGCAAATCTTTTAAAGCATTTGACAAAGCGTCACTCACCAAAAAATTAGCCAGGCCACAGATGGCACGCTCTTTGAGGGAAAATGCACGCTGGCGTCTCAATTCATTAAATGCTATCTGAAAAACAGATGATGTCAATTTGATGGCTAAATGGCACAAGGCATTGGTGCATGAAGAGACTCCCTTCTGTAAATCTTTAAATGCACTGCCAAAACTTTTTTCCACAAGATCTGCTGCAAATTTCTGAATGCTATCTTTAATCATCAAGGATTTATTTTTAGATTTATTATTTTGATCAAGCTTAAGGGCTACAGGTTTGTTTTCTCCATTTTTGCCACTATCAACTTTTGATAGTACATAAGGATGTTGGGTGTGGAGAACTGAGCTGAGTACTTTACATGAAACACTATGTGCATAATCCTCATAAATGTAATCAACAGAATTATGACTCTCTTGAACCCTATCGTCACCAGTGTGAGTTTGGCAAAAACAGTCAGCAGGAGTACAGCTCCCCAGAGGACTGAAAGCAGAGGATCGAATGGGGCTGAACAAGCCACTGTCTTCCCCAGATGCCTGCACTGGGCGAGGAGAATCTGGAGTGTCACGCAAATTACTGTATGGGGACTCGGGCTTCCGTGGAGTTGGTTTTCGAACATTAGCTGGGAGAGCTGGACGATCAAACTTGAACTTCTGAGGATTCATGGTAGTGGATACAGAACAAGACTTCTCATGCTTGGACCCTTTCTTTTTTGATAGCTTTTCTATGGCAGGGTCTTTCATTAATAGACAAGTTTCTGAAGTTTGTTCTAGTTCATCGAACTGATCAAAACTATCAAAAAACTCACTCACTTCTGAGTCTGAATCCTCTATGTTATCTTTTGTTATTGGGATTTTAGGCAGCTCAAGTTTTGCTTTCAGGCTTTTTTGATATCCTTCTTCATCCAAGAAAATAACAGGACTTGGACTGGAACATTCTGATTCAGAAGAGTATGCAGGAGAAGAAGAAAACACTTTCTGTACCTCACTAGCTTTAACTGAAACTTTAGGTGACCTATAGAAACTCCGCTGGATCCAAGGCTCAGAAATCGAAGTTGTGACAGAAGTTTTCACAGAAGGTAATTCTTTGGGTCCCAGAATGTTTATTAAGGAAGTTGACGGTTTAGCCAACAACTTCTTCTGCCCAGAGCTAACCAGAAACTTGAAATCATGGGTTTCTAAATGATGACCAGGAGGAGTCTGGGAAGTAGCATCACACTGGCTCCGAAGTGCAGAAGTGGTTACTCCTGTAGGAAACGAGAGACAAACTTAAAATTACGGGCCAACAGGACTCTTTTTTATAAATTAACTTAATACAGTGACTTTGGAAGCATGAGAAATTACAGCATGAGTTTCTCCTAAATTATGCCGTGTTAACAGACTGATCTCACATCACATTTAGAAGTAAATACACCTTTTACTAAAATAACTTCATTTTCCCCAACATCAAGGGATATTTAGTGTATTAGCATGCCTACCATGTCATCCCATGTGTTGGACACAATAATATGTAACTTCTTTCAGCTAATTCTTCTGAAATGTAAACCTAGTCATGTTCTAGACACTTAGGATAATGTAGGAAACAATGCTCAGATAGCAATACCTAAGAAACAAAAAATAAATTTAAAAAAAAACAAAAAACACAACAGACAACTGTAAAGATTACCCCAAAACAATTCCTCAGGCAATCATAGAAAAAATGTTGAAATTAATGGATCAAATTTCAACTGAATAAGTGTGGTTTAAATTTTCTAAAAGGAACTTTCATTCATCGGTGGTGGTGATATGTGCTCCCGAGTCAGAAAAACCCTTAACCAACCCTTCAGTGGGTTTTCTGAGGCAGTTAATCACCCGGGAGGAGATTAACCATCTTTCTCTCATGCAGCTGTGCTGTGGACTCAAACCATGTGCCTTCAGCACTGCAGCACAATTTCTTGCCACTAGGCCACTAGAGCTCCCTTTCATCCACTACTTCATGAAACAATCTGGTAAAAGACTAACCATCATTATATGGCTTCGAAGTCTCTTCTTCCTCTAAGTGTTCAAAGGCAGTGACAAAGTCATCCTCTATAGAAGACACTGACTGGTTAGTATCATCATCATCTTCATGAGTGGTCTCAAGTTGGCCCTTCTGGCGCAAGCATGTTTCCAGGGTATAACGGATACCGGTAGCATATTTACTTAGCAGACTAAATATAAAATCAATCCTGAGTCTCGGCAATGCAGGTGACACTCTCATGACGCACAGCATTCCAGAATGATGACTCTTGGGAAAGATGACAGATGACAAAAAACAATTTGAAATATGAAATATTTCAAATTTGAAATATGAAATATTATCAAGAAGTTTAAATATGAAATATTATCAAGAAGTAAAGCTTAGAAATAAAACAATCTTAGAAAAACGTAATAAATCCATGCATCAAAAAGCCTCCTGGGCTTCTTTTCTTTAACTCTTCTCATCATCTCTCACATCCCAATCTCATTTTCTCCTATCTTTCTATAGCCCATGTATATTCTACCTATCCTAGTTCCTTAAAATAAGATCAGAACTTACGTTCTATCCCATTTCCATAACAGTGATGTTTTCCTAAATAATTGTACAGCCCTGTGATTTTTCTTACCCATTAACCTGTCAACAGTTTGACTCACACTGCATGGGTGCAGGAACGAGGTTACATTTACTTTTAGACCCCGTGTTCCTTTAGTTTTCAGCATGATGCCACCTTCTTTCCTATAATAAAGGAACTGTCTTCCCTTTTACCTAAATTTCCCTAACTTATAGCACAACTTCCTAGTCCATTTTATAATAAAATTTCCTACAAGTTAATGTTTAATAAAGCTTTAAAAGTATAAGTCAACAAGTGTTTCCCCTACATATATTATCTTCACAATTACAAATGTTAATATGTAATTATTTCATTTCAAAAAACCTAGAAGCCATTTTTAATAGCTAATCATGCCTTAAATGCTAACAAATAAGCAATGGTAATAAATGAATGAGGTAAGCACTTCTACCTCTAGCTGTAGATTGCATAATGAACAGAACTGGCTTATACACCTAGAATATGTGATTCTAATTTTGGACCCAAGAGTAAACGATAAATACTTTATCTTCTAAAACTGGAAGATTTTTTTTTAAATGTGTTATTAACTTAAACATACCTCGTATATAAATTAAAGCTGAATGTTCTAAATAACCAATTCTAAAGTAATGGAACATCAGATGATGACATAATACGTTTTCTTAATCAGAAAGTTAAGTTCTTTCCGAACAAAGTATTTTCACAAATGCAAAATGGCTATAAAAAGGAAGTCTCCGTAGCTTATTAAAAAACCATAAATTCAACAAATTCAGAAAATTAATTTCTTGAGAAAAAAATACGTATTGCATTCAATTTGTGGAACTCATACAGAGAAAGAATTTATTTCCTATAAAGAAAGTTGTTAATTATCCTTCAATAATTTCTATGTCTCATGAGAGAATTTTTATATTTTGTTGAGAAAACATTTTTTAGGAAGAAACTTCATCAAGCAATTACATACATTGGAACAAATGTTATTCTAAAATCTGTCCTAGAAAGATAACTCATTAGAAATGACCTTCAAAAATTACCTGATTTATAGGATTACTGTTTGCTTCTGATGATTTTTTAATATCCTTCATACAAATAATTTCATTTTCATTTAAACTGCAGAAGTGAAGTGAATTCAGAACATCTGGAAGTGCCAAAGAAACTGCAGCTAAATCCTAAATTAAAATAATAGATTATATAAATAATGTGCTCATAAGTCAAAAGATTAATACATTTTATGAGTTATTATAGTTAATACAAACTTATCCTCAGGTAATCAATTTCAAAGAACATAAACTAAGGAAAAATTAATATTCTAATACTGGCTATTCCTATTCTCTTCAATCTGGATATGTCAAGCTACTTAAAAATTCTATATGGTACTGTGTTCTATGATAATTAGGCATTTAACAAAAATGGTCAACATATGTCAAGAAGCAGTTCTTAGGTTAGATTCTGGAATTTTTCATGTAGTCTTCGTTGCAACATATACTTTCAGAGCTTAAGTTTCCAGTTTGTAAAACACAAATCCATTTTTCTGCCATTCCTCTTAAGATTGTAAATAAAAATTTCAAGAAAATGTGTAAAGGGAATAGTTTTCTCTTTTTGTTTTCCCTTCTACATTAAGTATATTACAAAGTTTAAAAAAAAGTTAAATTCTTGACTTCTCCTACACTATGTTTCATTTTATATGGTTACTATATTTCGTTTCATATGGTTACATCAATGGCATTTAAAGTATTAGAGAAATAGTCTGGAGCTCTTCTCTTCCCAGCCTTATGGTTTTATGAGTATAAGCCTTTCATCCAAACTATTTTCTTCAAACAGCAGCACAATCACAATTTTAACAATAATCTATTATTCAGAGAGAACTGAATGGTGTTATTTCTCTATTAGAATATGCTTTACTGTCAAAAAGATGCACATGGCAATGACAAATTCTATGAGCAGCAGCAGCTCAGGGGGGAAAGAAACAGTCTGCCTCCACATGCACACAAGCTTCAAGCAACCACTCTTTGCATAACTGCTAACTTTCCTTCATGACTCTTAATCTCAAATACCATCTCCTCAGTAAACACCTGATGAAATCAAACCGGCTGAAATGTTTGTATTGGCTAATCATTACTTTTAATAAACTGTCTTTTAAATTCAAATCTACATCAATTAGGAAATGAAAGACTGCTTCTTGTTGAAGCCAAATTCTAGACACCATCTAAATTTAAAAAAATAAAAAATTAAAAAGCAAGCCTCACACTCTGTATTATAAAGAGAGTGGAGATTAAGTCAGCCTGTGGTCTGCAGCCTTTCCAGATAAGTGACTTTTGCGGTCTTCTAAAATAAAGCTGCTTTCCGTAACAAGAATCCTCAGATAAAAAGGCTACACTCAAAAGGTGACCTGAGATATGACTTTTAACTTCTAACAGGAAAAATACGAGAAGAGTTAGGAGTAAATTTCAGACTACCAAAGAAAATTTTTCAACCTCAAAATTTCATCAATTTTCAATTCAAGAAATTGATCTTACCTGTATATGAGCAGCATCTGTTTCTTCATTAAAACCTAGAAATGTAATCTAAATAAAAAATAAAAACTATTATTATGAGCTTTTATGGTTTTCTTATATTTTCTTTACAGCACTGAAAAAGTAGGATAGAGCAGATAAAGTATAAAAATGGTGGTCATCTTGAACTGGATCGTAATTTTTTCAAAGATGATCAAAAAGGCTTTTCATCAAAGACTTGGCGCCATAATGAAGTTCATGAGATACCTCCACAAATACTCCAGTAGAAGTTCAATCAATTCTACCTCTAACACATTTTTACATACACCTACACCTCTCCCTGCACGTCTCACTTGCACTACTCCCATTCCTTCCCACATGATCTGTATTAACTGTCATGACACTTCCCCCACAAGATCTCACAGAAAAGTCCTAAATGATACCCCAAAGCTCTAGGGTAGCTGGAGCCTTCAGAACCAGCCCTCCGGCCTCCTTTTTGGGGTCTGGAACATGTCTGATACTTCCCCAAAATCGTAATCTTTCTTGGATTCTTACCGGCCTAACTTTTCCTCATTCTTAGAATGTCCCCTCCTTAGAGAGACCCTCAAGACTACCTCTTCACTGACTCATCATTTATTTCCTTCAATGCTTATACATTATTCTGAAGCATTATTCTGCTGTGCTTCTATAAAATAAATTTTCAAAAAGTACCTAAAGGCATGCCAAAATATCATTAAGCAAAAAGGGTAAGTCACGGAAAATGCATTCATTTCATTAAAAAAAAAAAAATACACACACACACACACATACATGATAAATGATCCTGGAAAGTAATACCCCAAACCATAAGCAGGGAAGCACCTCTGAATGATGGGGTTTCTGCTATTGTTATGTGCCATGGAGTTAAAACGAACTCAAGATGACCCTCCCAGCAGAACTGCAGAAGCTGTACACAGCACAGAGGAAGACTACCTATCTTACTCTCTTGAAGCAGTTAGTGGATTCAAAACACTTGCTTCTGAGTTGACAGTGCAGCTCTTTACCCATCAAGGCTCTTTTTATACTTCTGCATCACAGGAAGAAATTTTTTTCCATCTGAAGATGGAATAATAAACTGTTTACTAAATAAATACCATAATTTTTTTTGCTTCCTTCCCCTTTATGAAAAAATATACATTTAAAAAGCAACACAAAATATACTTTGGTGGTTGTTCCTTTTGATTCAGAAGCAAATTAGAATTGCAAAATTACTCTGGGATCTTTATTCTGCACAATTGTTATTTTTAATATTATTTCACAGAATAAATGTTTTCATTTCCTTACATCTAGGAATTATTTAACCTTTTCATGTATAAAACTCAAGGAACACATTTCTCCCTCTCACAGTGGCAAGACTTGGTTAATGTGGAAGAAAGTGTCTAGTACATAATACTATTTTCACTTCCTTCTTTCTTTCAAAAGATACTTTTTTATCCTAAAGAGAACAGAAATCTCTTGTACTTTTTTACAAGTTTGTTTTTACTCTGTGTCTGTCTCTGTGTGTGTGTGTGTGTGTGTGTGTGTGTGTGTGTGTGTGTCTGTTATGTATACACACACATATATAAGTAAGTTGTGGGGCTTTGAAAATGTCAGAAGAGTTTTACATTTTCCATCCATCAAGAAAGGCCTGCCTAGGGAACGTGTGCTCCGAAAGACATTATGTAAGAAGTATGAGATGTGGGCTAGAAAACTAGGGGAAGGACACAGGAGACTGACCCAGGGAAAAACTGAGAACAGTCAAAGTGATTTTGCTTCACTAAAATAAATTAAAAAGGGCAAATGAAGAAAGTAACAGTAAGGCCTAGAGTAGCAGACCCAAGAGAAAAGGCTCAGGTCAAAGAATATTATGAGTGTGTTTCTCTCCAGACAACAATGTCAGACATAATTTCTTATAGAACATAAGGAAATCATTCACAAAACTAAGAACACTTGAGATTTCTTTATAAAATTTTTCATTTCAAAAACTTAAGTCATTAGTGTTGAACTAGAGCAAGTTGATACCTTGTCTTTTATTTTGTAACATAAATATGACAAAGCTGTTATTGTTAAGTGTCAATGAGTCAAGCACAACTCATAGAGAAGCTATGAACAAAAGATCTGAACCCAGTCCTGTCCTGCTCCATCCTCACTTTCTACACACAAGAGCCCATTGCAGCAGTCACCATGTCAATCCACCTGGTTGAGGGTCTTCCTCTCCTTCGCCAACTCTCCACCATTCCCAGCATCATGTCCTTCTCCAGGGAATATTCCCTCCTAGCAACATGCCCAAAGGATGTGAGGCAAAGACTCATCATTCATTCTTGCCTCCAAAGAGCACTCTGGCTGTACCCTCTCCAAAACATGGCTGTCTGGTTATTTTGGCCATCTCTACTCCAACACCATAGGCATCAACTCTTTTTCAGTCATCCTTATTCATAGTCCATGTCTTAGATGCACAGCAAGTAACTGAAGACTATGGTCTGAATTAGATGTAGCTTAGTCCTCTAACTAATATCATTACTCCTCAATAATTTAGAGATGTTCCTAACTTCAGATTTTTCCAGTGCAATGCATCTCCTTATTTCCTGAGTGCTGGTATCAAAAGTGTTAATTATGGATCTAAGCAAGATGAAGCTATTGACAGATTCAATCTCCTCTCCATCATGATGTTATCTATTGGTCCTGCAGTAAAAATTTTTGTTTTCTTAATATTGAGATGCAATCCATATCAAAAGCTGTCTTCCTTGATTTCCTTGATCTTCTGCAACAAGTGCTTCCAAGTCTTCCTAACGTTAAGCAAGCAAGGTTGTGTCACCTGCATAATGCAGTTATTAGTGAGTTTCTCTCCAATCGTGATGCCACACGCCTCTTCATAGAGTCCAGCTTCTCAGATAATTTGCTCAGCATACAGACTGAACAGGTTTGCAGAGAGGACACAACCCACAGGTTTGCAGAGAGGACACAACCCTGATGCACTCCCTTCGTACTTTTAAACCTTGCAGTGTTCTCCAGCTCTGTTTGCATAATAGTCTCTTGGTCCAGGTATAGGTTCTGCACTAACACAATTAAGTGCTCTGGGATTCCCATTTTTCTCAATGTCAACCACAACACAGTGAAGTGCCTTTGCATAATCAATAGAGCACAAATAGACATTCTTCTGGTATTCCTTACTTTCAGCCAGGATCCATCTGACATCAGCAATGATGTCCCTGGTGCCATGGCCTCTTCTAAAATCCTGCTTGAACGTCTGGCAGTTCCCTATCTATGTACTCTTTTAGCTGTTTTTTAATGATCTTCAGAAGTATTTTACTTGCATTTGGTATTAAAGATATTGTTCAATAGTGTCCACATTCAGTTGGATCACCTTTCTTGGGAATGGGAAAATATAAGGACCTCTTCCAAACCACTAGCCAGGCAGCCATCCTCCAAATTTCCTCGCACAGACTGGGGAAGGCATCCAAGGTTGCATCTGTCAACTGAAACAAGTCAATTGGTATCCCATCGACTCCTGGGGCCTTATTTTTTGCCAATGCTTTCAATGCAGCTTCTACTTCCTCCTTCATTACCATTGGCTCCTGTTCATACAGTACTTCCTGAAATTTTTCAGTGTCAATCAATTCTTTCTGGTACAGTGATTCTGTGTATTCCCTTCATTTATTCTGATGTCTTCTGGGTCATTCAGTATACTGCCCATGTTTTTGTTGTGCGCTGTTAAGTCACCTGCGACCCAGAGCAACTCTATGTACAGCAGCTCTGAATTCTGCCCTGTCCTGAGCCAGTCTCACTAATCTTATACACCAACCCCCAAACCCCCAGCGTCTCCCTCTCCTGCACTGACCCTCCACCCTTCTGAGCATGATGTCATTCTCCAAGGACTGGTCTCTCCTGGCCACATGCCCAAAGTAAGTGAGACAGAGTCTCAAAATCCTAGCCTCCAAGGAGAAACTGGTTTCACCCTCTCCAAGACAGAGCTATTTGTTTTTCTGGCAGTCCATGATATGTTCAAGATTCTTCTCCAGCACCACAATTAAAAGGCATCGATTCTTTTTCTGTCATCCTTAGTCACTGTCCAGCTATCTGATGCACAGCAAGTAACTGCGAAGACCATGGCCTGGATTAGGTGCACCTTAATCTCTAAACTGACATCA